TGGGACATTCACAAAACCCTTCTATAGAATCTCTTGGTTCTCACCCTGTAGTTTTTCTGTAGATGCACCCATGGCTCTCTGAGTTTAGGCTCTTGCTGTGACCACTCACATCATTCACAGCTATGACACCCACCTCCTTGCCCTATTTGCTGGGACTTGCTGACCTGACATATGCACGACCAAAGATCAGATTGAGAAGTTTCCCATGTTTTCAAGAGCCATTTGTCATTCCTTGTCTGAAATCCCTCTGTCCCTGGTCTTAGCTTTGTAGCTTTGTCCATTGGGCTTATGACACTTTTCTTTCAACTTATTTTGAGACCATTGTCTCTTGAATTGCCTGGATTTTTATTTTGATGCCACTGTTTGCATCAGTATTTCCATTAATGATATATCACTCTCATATCAACCTTCCACTCAAAGATCATTAAAAGTAATTCTTCCCCGAGTTTCTTTAATACTTTGAAAATCACTCAACAGCTTCTATTGGTGACCCACCAAGAGTTGATTTACATTTGAGGCAGGAACTAGAAACTGTTTCCCCTTGGGTAGCTAGCTGTTCATCACTAGGTGTGTGTGTGTGTGTGTGTGTTTGTGTGTGTGTGAACTTACCAAGTTCTTATGTTTCATTTTTCATTACTCTTTCCCCTACCTAAATATAATTTTAAGTGGGAAGAAATCACCCTACTGTTCTACTGTTATGTTTTTATTGATTTACTCTGAAAAGTATCTGTGTAAACATGCTTGTTATACATGCGTGTGCAAATATGCAGACATGCCTGTGAGTGTTTGTGCAAAGTCCAGTTCTAAAGTTCTTCACTGGTGAGAATAAGCTTCAGTTTTGAGAGGTGTCTGCCCTATTGATGAGATTGGAGGCCTGGGTGGAGAAATACAGTGCAATCATAAACCCGAAGGTTAGCATTTTGGCAGGGCTGTCTCTTGTAGCTTTCAGATGACTGCCGAGTTTGCCAAATGTTCCATTTTTGTATTAGTGGAGTGCTGAGGTCAGGATTTAGCTTCTCAAAGTGGGGTTGTACTGAGTGGAATGCTAAGAAGCAATCTCTATTATTAAAAACAGCAAAATTGGTACCTGTGTTCCAAAAAGGGATTACATGGAATTACACAAAACTAAATGAACAAATTTGAGACAGTACTGCTCACCAAAACAGCCAGGAAGGAAATTGAGAATAGCTCCATTTAAAATTAGACCTTGGAGTTAAAGTAACTAATTTCAGACATCTAAATATTGCTGTTTTTAATGGTGTGCCATTTCTATTTCAAACAGAAATAGACACCGTCTCTGGTTGAAGTAAGGATTTGTGCACTTGAGTGATCATGTGAGCATCAGAAACAATTCTGTGGCCATTCTAAGGCAGCACACTTTTCTGAAAAGCATGTTGATTTGAGGACCTTGGATGATTCTTCTGAGAGCTCACAGGGTGTCCATAGGGCTCACTCAGAGTTGTGACTGTGCTCTGGGAACTTCACAGGTCTTCCTGAGAGGACTTTCTGTTTGTAATCTGTCAGGCTGCTCCTCCCCCCTGACTACTGATGATCCTGTCTCTCCCTGGAGGAGAAATCAGCTGCAAATGGCTCGTGGCTGACTAGGTTAGATTTCTGATAGTGGGAGTCCTTTTGGAGAACTGTTTGTAAAATGCTTGATTTCCTATATCGTTCCATGTTGGGGGGAAGGAAAAAAATCTAGGAATTACTGTGGATGTTGAAAGAATGGCCTAGGAGAGGCATTCTGTACATGTCATCTCTTTAGCTTGTTGAGACCAGAGATTTAGCTATTTTGTTAAACTAAATCTTGACTTAGTAAATATAACGCAGAAGTTCCAGGAGATCTGATGCCCTCTTCTGGCCTCTGTGTGTACCTACACACATGTGGTACACACATATACATTCATGTAAACATATGTTTACATACAATTAAAACTAACCAAATGAAAAACCATCAGGCAAGGTGGTCCAAGTTTGCAGTCTCAGTGTGGGGAGGTGGAGACAGGAGTGTGTTTGGGATTCATTAACCAGCCAGTCTACAGAGTTAGTACATTTCAGGCCAGGGAAAGACCCTGTCCCAGAAAACGAAGTAGATAGTGTCTTGAGTAACAACACCCAGACTAACTTCAAGCCCACACATGCATCCATACAAACACGCAAAATTAAGTGGGTAAGGGATTGGGGAGATGGCTCCGTGGGTAAGAGCACATATTGCCCTTGCAGAGGAAGCAGTTTGGTTCCCAGAACTCACGATGGGCAGCTCACAACCACCTGTAACTCTGGCTTTTGGGGAACTAATTGACCCCTTCTGACCCTTGAGGGTACCCACACTCACATATACACATACCCCCATCACACACACACACACAATCAAAAATAAAACACACCTTAAAATATTAAGCAGGCAAAACAGATATTGAGACTTATGTACTCCTATAAAAGGATAGCATAGGTGTTGGGGAAATGACTTACCAGATGATGTTTTCTGTGTAAACATGAGGACCCAAGTTCAAATCCTCAGCACTCATTAAACAAAAACTAGTCTTGTTTGCGCATGCCTATAACACCTTTGCTGTCAGGGGAAGTGTGGAGCAGGAGGATTGCTGGGTCTTACATGGCTGCCAGCCTAGCTCCAGATTCAGCGAGCAACTTAGTATCAAAGGAATAAGGTGGAGATTTGTGGACAGGGTGCCTAACACCATTCTCTGGCCTCTGCACGTACACAGGGATGTGCAATTCATAGACATGCAGACACACACACATTAACTCATTGATTAAAAAGGACAACACACCTGTGTTCCCGAAAGCAAACGGGGAGTTTGTTTCGAGCAGATTTTAGATGGTACACATTTGATCATTTTGATAGAAGCACAGTTAGTTGGCTATTATACAATAAACAGGAGCAGTGCTGTCATCCCAAACATCTGCTCTGGCTTCACTTTTCCAGGCCAGGATGACTCATACTGTGCAGGCTTCCTGGCGCCTGAGCTGCCAAGAACCCGTTTTCCTCCCCTCTCTCCACACCGTGTCAAATGGCAGACATGAAGCTTGCCTCCGTGGTTGCTGCCCTAATTTGACAAGGACATCTCCTAAAGCAGTTGCATTGTGATCATGGTTGTCTTTCAACTGCATGGTAGTCATTAATAGTGAGGCGTATTCCACCTGGGAAGCTGGTTGGCTGTCTCTAAGGACCCAGTGTCTTCTTGTTCATTCAGCCCATCGCTTGGCCTGGTTTGTTTATTTTTTCTGTGTTCTTGCAATACTTCCCCCTCTTTGTGTGGGAGCTGAGGAGTTTTTCCAGTTCCCTTAGGCACCTTCAGCCCTTCTCCCAGTTGTTTTCACTTACAGCGCATCACAGGGTTGAGCTGCGGGTACTTTCAAGGTCACGGCAGTTGCCATCACAGCCTGCCACACCTACATTTGAACCTTCACAGCCTCCTTGTTTGGACTCTTCTTTATTCCAAGTTCTTCAGCCCTCATAGGGTGAGACCTATGTACGGGACTACTGTCCTACTGGACCCTGTAAGTGTCCCCCATACTGAGCACTCCCATCCCTTGACTCAGGACAATGCCTGGCATGAAGAACTGCTGCTCAACCGACACTGTTCTGGTATCTTCTCTGCACACTGTCTCATCCATGTACCACAGAGCTCCCTTTCTCCTCTTAAACTCTCTGTATTCTTTTTAATGCAACAGCTCCTTGACTTTTAAACCCACTGCAAATTAAAATTATTGTGGAGAATACACTGAACTTATAGACTATGGCAGAACATGCAAGCCTGGTGGACTTTAGTGTTGGTGGCTTCTGCTGCTGATCGTGGTGCTGGCTTGGAGCTGAGGACTGCTGCTGATGCCCAGTTCCCAGAGAGGGTCCTGTGGATGTAACCAGGGGAAGTTAGATGTAACCAGGGGGAAGTTATGTTAAATAAAGTGAGCCCGGCACAGGAAGACAAGCACCATGCAATATCTATCTCATACGAAGAAGTTGAAAGCCGTGGGCGTGAATATAGAAAATGATTATTAGAGTTCAGGGATGGTGTGTGTGTGTGTGTGTGTGTGTGTGTGTGTGTGTAGGGTATGTGTTGGTGGAAGATGGATCAAGGAAGGCTGGACTTGATCAGTGTGTGGTGTGTGTTTACGCGCTATACACTGACCTACCATGACATGAACAGTGAATACATACTTCACAAGAATTAAAATATTTTAGAACTTGAAACTTAAAATAAAGATTAGTAGAAAATTCTAAGTATGATTTCTACTGAATATGAATCACTTTTACACTACCATAAGTGATAAGCCAGAGACTGTTTGTATTCATTTATTTATTTTTATTTTTTGTGACATGGTCTCATGCATCCCAGGCTGGTCTCAAGCTCACTATTTAGGTGAGGACAACATTGAACCCCTGGTTCTCTTGCCCCTACTAGGATTTTGGTATGTACTACCAAACCTGGTTTTGTGAGGTGCTGGACTTTAGACATGTTGGGCAAGCGTTCCACCAATGGGCTATAGCCCCAGCTTGCTGGCTGCCCTTAAAGCTGCAGAAGCTGGGAGTCAAACAATGAACATCAAATTTCCTCCAGAAGGATCTCAGTGAGCTGTGGTGGCTGGAAGCCTTGGTCCTGGTTGGTACTCTGGCCAAAAAGAACATTTCTAAAGACATTATGATCGGCATAATTAAAGAAAATGTTGGGGAGAATACATATCAGGTGCTGATTTTAAAAAATGAAGCCTTAACTAAATGTCAAAGGAAAAGAAAAAGGAACTGTGGCATTGGTCGTGGTGCCACCACAGTAAGAAGGATAGAATGTGGTAAAAGTTCTAAGATGACCTGCCAGTACTTGGCTTAATTCTGCTTGTTGGAGGAGAGGCACTTAGAGGGCCAATTTTCTATGCTAAAATAAGCAGGCAGTTATTTCCTCTGGACCTTTGAGCGCAGACTATCCGAGTTGCATAACTCTGACTGGCATGTAATAAATTGAATCTCTCCCTGCCCTCAGGGAAGCCATCAGCCGGGTCTGCGAAGCTGTGCCAGGTGCCAAAGGAGCCTTCAAGAAGAGAAAGGTACTGTTGCCCTCACTGTGTGTCTGTCTCCTCCTCACGTCCTCTCAGGACCACACTCCATGCCCTCACCCACATAGCTACTCACTGTCTTCTTACATGACCTGGACTTGGCTGCTTTTTAAGGGAAAGCACCCAGCTAAGGCTATAGCATCCTGCCCTGTCTCTCTCAAGCAAATGTAGGCACTCACGTGGCTTAGATCCTGGAGACAGTGCTGGCAATCAACACCTGGCCAAGCATCCCCTTAAGCCCATTACATAACATGAACTCATCTACCTCTAACAACTCATGTAGCAGCTACCCCAGGAGTACGTGCTAGCAGATGCTCAAGAACTGGATTCTGGGGTTGGGAGTGGGACCTTGAATTTGTAATGATGCCAGTTACCGTGGTGTGAATACATGGATGTGAGTCAAAGGTCCCGGAGAGAGTCAGGAAGAACCGCACAGCAGCCCCTCACTGCTGTGCTCTCTCTAGGCACAGCTGATGGGACCTGAAGTGCACAGGTTCACACAGCGTGGACCAGGTAGCAAACCAGTCAGGACTCAAGAAGCATTTGCCATCTTTAGATGCCGTCTGTGTGGTTGTGAGTTTGTGTATGTTCACTTTCAGTAATAGCTGTGTTTAGTGGCCAGCTCGTAACACTTCTGAAGACAAAACAAGTGGTTTTCCTGAGCTGGCTCAGCCATGTCACCAGAAAGCCCTATTACAGAAGACAAAAACTGAAGCTTTGGGCTGAGAAGCCACAATGTGAATAGGAGCTGGGGCAATGATCAAGCCAGACCACCTGCTCCAGAGACTGGGTGTTCAACTACACTTCTAGAACTTTCCATTCGGTACATGGTTGGATTAGGAGGGGGCTAGGGAGATAGCTCAGGGGGCAAAGCGCTTGCTTCATAAGCGTGAAGACCTGAGTCTGTATCCCCAGCATCCATGTCAAAACCCTGGCACGGCAGCACATGGCTGTGACCCCAGTGCTGGAGAGAGACAGGCAGATCTAGGGCTCACTCGCTAACCAGGGTTGCAGAATTGGAATGGTCCAGGGTCTTTGGGAGACTCTGTCTCCAAATATAATTTAGAGAATTTTACAGGAAGACCCTGATGACCTCCAGTCTGTGCACGCATGCATACACACACACACACACACACACACACATACACACACACGTATGTATGTGACATACATATCACAACGAAAAGAAGGAAATATTTAATTATGCTGTCTCTCATTAAGTATCTAAGAAATAAATAATTCAGCACCCACAATCATGACTTTCACCTACCTAGAAGGGATTTGCGGGAAAGCATACCATACAGAGCCCTACATCTGCTCCATGCTGAGCTCTCACATTCCAGATGGTTTTACTCCAAGTCACTTCTGTCTTCAGAACTGGGGACACTTGTAAACCTATAGGGCAGCTGGGCCTGGGGCACAAAACTTGGCAGTTTGGGTTATATGAAGGCCAGTACCCTGGGGGTCCGGGAACCAAGTAAAGCTCCCAAATCTTGACTACAGGAAGCAAGGTGTCTCTTGGGAACAGTGAGGAGGACCATCATCTTTCAGAACAGATGGTCCTAACAGGTCTTGTGGTTCCCATGTTTTTTTTTTTTGTTGTTGTTGTTGTTTTGTTTTTTTTTTTTTTTGGGTGGGAAGAGATGGAGGTAGTAGCAACTTTCCAGGCTGTGCCCAGATGCACTTGACCTGACTCTCACACAGTGGGGTGGGCTCTCTGAAGGGCTCTTTTGAAGTGTTAGATAAAAAGAAAAAAAGGCATGGCAGGGATCCTAGAGGAAATATCATCTATCTGGGAAGCAAAGAGCTGCGTTTGGGTTGCCAAACCAGGGCAGCCCCAAGTGACAAGTTCAGCAGAGGTTTAGTCTTTTAAAATAGAGACTTACCGTTGTCTTTGGAGACAGTTCATTGGCTGGGCAGACACCCTCGACTGCAAATGGATTCTGATTGGTTCATTAACTAGGCTACTCCCCACTGAGAGGTTGGTGTACAAGGCCCTGCAGCAGGTCTGGATTTGGCCTCTTATCTGAGTCACAGAACACGCTGTGGTCTGAGCTTCAGAAGAGGGGTGTGACCTTCCTGGTTCCCCAGTTCCACTTTCAACAGCCTTCGCTGCTGCATTTTCTCTCCTGGTGGACTAAAGAGCCCTGTGGCTGGTTAGGAGCATAGTGAGCAGAGGGTGTAGTCAGGAGAGGGCTTCAGTGTGTGCCCAGGGGCCTGTGGGACACAGCAGCCTGTCTCTCCACCCTGCCCAGGCCCTGGGCTGTCAGAGGTGAGTCCTTCACAGGGAGCCCCCTTCTGACAAGGATTCCCTTCAGGAGAGAGCCTGGTGACCCTCTGAGGTTGCTCCCAAGTCTTGGTGCCACCCAAGCTTCACTCCCCTAAGAGGCATTCTGAGTCTCGGAGTGCCGAGACAAGGTCAGCATGTCTGCAAAGCTGTGATGTCCCTGCTGTGTGGTTTCTGCAGGTTGATATCTAAGACTCAGGAAATACCAGCATGAGGCCAAGGCAGCCAGGAAGACAAGGAGGAGTTCTGCCCAGAACTAACATATTAGGCATTTATAACTTCATACCTCCTAGTACTGGATGTGCATGTTGGCATTTATAACTTCATACCTCCTAGTACTGGATGTGCATATTGGCATTTATAACTTCATACCTCCTAATACTGGATGTGCATACTGGCGTGGGCTCTTGTTTCCTCAGCTCCTCCAATTGACATTTGTCTGTCTGCTGGCCCCTCAGTGGGCAGGAGCAGTCAGTGAGAGCCTGTGGTGTTATACTGGCATCTCTGCCTCCACCCTTTCAGACAGTCTAGGTCAAAAGCTAAAATATCACTCTTGGACTTCACAGCCTCCGAGCAAAACGCTGTCCAACATCTTGGGGAAGAGCAACCTCCAGTTTGCAGGGATGAGCATCTCCTTGACCATCTCCACTGCCAGCCTGAATCTGCGCACTCCGGACTCCAAACAGGTGTGAGGCTTCCCAGGCATCCCCAGGGCTTTCCAGGGTGGACATCTCCACGGCTTCCTCCTCAGCTTACTGAGACCATGCAGAACCTGCTTGCGACTTGAACTCTAACTCTGGCCACTTTGACAGTCCACCCACAGATGGATGAGTGGTTCTCTGGAGCTCTGTTCCAAATGGTGTCTGTTTGGTTGGTGTGTTGTAATATAAGAAATGGTGATGTCTGTGCAAATGTCTTGGTGTAGCCATGCTTTATCAGATTTATGGGCCGCATTTTAATCTTAGCTTGCTTGGGGTGCATAGTGTGCTATGGTTTGCTAGACAGGAGTTTTCTTCCTCGTGGCTTCTTATGTTGGAGCCTCCTGTAGTCCATCCCATCTCAGGGTTGATGAGCTGTGCATATCTATAATATAAACAGGGTGGAATGACCCCGGCAGCATAGCCACACTTACAAAGACAATTTCCAGGTAGGATGGCTGTACTTCCGTGTGCTGACTGTTTTAGGTCAACCTATCATCCATCCATCTATCCATCTGTCTATCTATCTATCTATCTATCTATCTATCTATCTATCTATCTATCTATCTACCAATCATTGATCTATTTATCATGTATGTATGTATACATGAATTTCTATCTATCTATTCATCTATCTATCATTGATCTATTTACCATGTATGTATGTATACATGGATATCTATCTATCTGTCTTTCCATCCATCCATCTACCTACCAACCTTCTAGCCCCAAGATGTAGAGACAAATTAGTTAGATTTATTGTACAAATCATATATAAATAAGGGCCTTGTTGATACATAACTGACTACAACTTCCTACTCTACCCTTTTGTCTTCCAGGGACCCACTGATACCCTTTGTCTTTTCCTATTATTTTCTAAGGGTTGGACTAACCAGTTCTTGAGGCTGTGGATCTGGGATGTCTAGTCAGCCTCGCCTTGCCTAGGTTGTCTTAAGTTGAGCTGCAGCTGCTCATGGAGGCTGGCACACTAAGCTCAAGATAGTTATACAAACTGGAATCTGGCCTCTGTGCACATGGACCATTCATCTCTAGGGGTCCCTGGGTTGTAACACTCCATCCTCCTTGCTCATTCTGTCCTTACAAAGAAGGTCCAGTAAGGATAATGCTAGCACAGCTTGTCCTGAAGCCCTGCTCCACCTTGGTATGGTCCAGGTTGGGTCTAGTTAGGTGTCCAGTTCTCTTTTCCCTGCCATGTATTAGACCCATGTATTAGGGTCTAAGCGCAGTTTTCCTAACACCCAGGGGCTGCCCGCTAGGGTGATACAGGACAGTCCACATCATCAATAGAGCATATGGCTGTGCCTTTCCTGTTTCCTGAATTTAGGTCCCCACTGTAGCAAATAGAGAAAGCAAAAGCCCTGCCTCCTCCACCCAGGGAACAGACAAACAGCACCCACTCTACGATGTTGAAGTTCAAGTAGAGGGTTAGATCTGAAACCTGTAGAGGAGAAACACGCTATACCAGTGGTTCTCAACCTTCCTCATGCTGTGACCTTTTAATGTAGTTCCTTATGATGTGGTGACTTCCAACCATAAAATTGTTTTATTGCTATTTCATAACTGTAATTTTGCTACTGTAATGATTTATAGCATACGTATCTGAAATGCAGGATGTCTGATATGTGGCCCCAAAGGGATCTCAGCCCACAGATTGACAGTGCTGTGCAGCACTGAACAGAGCACTGGGCTCAGATCCCCCACCCTCCTGGGTACTTGGAGGGGTGATAGGCAGTCAGGAAAGTCATCACATATCGACTTGATCAAATTTGACTTAGACTTTTTCTTTCTAAATTATAGCTTCTAATTTAATCTCCAAACTCCAGGTTTAGAGTTGGTATGTGTGTGTGTGCTTGTGCATAAGGTGTATTTTGTGTGTGTTATATGTGTGTGTGTGTGTGTGATATGTGATGTATATGTGTTTGTGATCTGTGGGGTGTATGCATATGTGGTACGTATGTGTAAACCAGACGACAATCTCATCTGAAGATTGTCAGATACTGTCCATCTTGATTTTTGAAACAGGGTCGCTCATTGGTCTGGAGTTCACAGATTTGCCCAGACTGTCTGGCCAGTAGGCCCCAGGAATCCTCCCCTCTCTACCATCCCAGAGTTGGGATTACAGGCTCCATTCCCAGTTTTTTCATGTGTTATGGGGAACCAAATTCAGGTCCTCATGCTTGTGTAACAGTCAATTTATCAACTCCTTAAATAAACACACAAAATTGCAGCATTAGAAACTTATGCTGGGCATGGCAAGGCACAGCTGTAATCCAAGTAGTAGGGAGGTGGGTCTTGAGGATCAGAAGTTCAAGACCATCCTCATTGACATGAATCCAGATCAGCCTGGGCTACAAGACACCAAAGTCCTCTGTTCTGTTGGGGATTCGGGTGCCTTATCATTCATTCAAAGCTGTTTGCCTGCAGGTATCAGGATTCTAGGGCAACTATTATTAGTTAGTTGCCTGGGGCTTGGGCAGGGCCACCCAGCAGTCTCGTTGTTTTGTATTCTTTTAAACCCTCAGGTTTCTGTAGATTGAGGTTTTGCAAATGTCAACAGCCAAAGTCGGCATTTTAAATTATTTAAAATTGTATCCTATAATGATATGTTATTCCGAGTTTTCGGGAGCACATACTCTCTCTGATGCTCTGTGACCCAGTGACAAGGGCTGAGGGACAAGGAGGAGGACACTGCTCAGAAATAAACCTGGCTGTGTTGGGATGGAGCTGGGAGCTCCTTTCCACACAGGAACTTCTCTTCAATGTCGTTACATTGTCTTTAAAAAGATAAAAATAGCAGGCAGGACTTAATGTAGCTTTTAGAATTTAGGGCAGCTTCTAATTCACTCTGTGTCTACTGAATTCCATGGATGTCATGGCTTACAAACCTGATGGAAAGTTTCCATTTTTAAGACAAATGTGTGGAAGGGCCCCTGATCTTTAAGCCAGTGAATTATGAGAGGACTTTAATTCTTGGATACTGACCTTCTGATTTATATACACCTGATATGAGTGGTAAGGAGTGCATCAGGCCATACTCGCCCAGTCTTTGCTTTGGTGTTTGGGGAAGCAGAAACTACAAGTTGTAGTGTTTTGGTACGGTGTATTTTTTTCCTTCTTTGTGTGTGTGTGTGTGTGTGGGTGTGTGCATGTGTACATGTGTAAGACATATGCTTGTGCAAAGGACATACGCAAATGTGAATGGGTGTGCATGCACATATGTGTGCATATGTGTAGAGGCCACCTCTGCTGGCTGATTCAGGGCCTCTCATTGGTCAGAAACCTGTTGACTCAGCTAGCCCACTGGTCCAGCTAGCCCCAGGGATCCACCCATCTTTTCCTTTCCAGTGCTGGGATTGTAGCCGCCACATCCAGTTCTTTGTCACATGGGTTTGGGAGATTGAACTCCGGTCTGCCTGGTTTTAAGGCGCCCACCTTCTGCTTCCTGGAGAAGTCTGGTCATTGAGACGCTGGCCTCAGGTTGGAGCCTTGACTTCACAGATCTGTAATCATTACACTTCTTTCTTTGAACAAGCCTCTTGGCCCCTCTGGGCCCATGCTCTGTGCATGTAAAATGGGCTTCCCACAGGATCCTTAATGAGGCTTTCGGATGGTCACCCAGAGAGATGGTAGCCATCAGACTGTGCACAGTGAGGGCAGGTGACCTACAGTCTCGGTGTTTCACAGTTGTCATGGACTGGGGGCCGTTTTTGGGAGATCTTGTCTTTTGTGTAGCCAGCCAGCAAGGCAGGCTCTGCAGCATGTGGGCAAGCGCTAATGGCTAATCTCATTTCTTGTCTCCCCCCTGGCAGATCATAGCGAATCATCACATGCAGTCCATCTCCTTCGCCTCAGGGGGTGACCCGGTGAGTGGCCTTGGCTTGTTTCTCTTGTCCTTGCTGGGAACTTCCGAGAACAAGCCCTGATTTAAAATGTGCCCTTGAAGACATGACACAAAATTGTTGTACGCTGATTTTACTATTCCAATAACAGTCCAGTTGTTTTAGGACCAGGGCGGTTGTCTGGTGAGAATTCTATTCTGATAAAGTGTATGTGCTCAAAAGAAACATAGTGCCCCAGAAAAACACTATGGGGGGGGGAGATCCTTTGAAGTAAATAGTGTTTTATAAGACAAAATATTCAGCTGGGCGGTGGTGGTGCATGCCTTTAATCCCAGCACTGGGGAGGCAGAGGCAGGCGGATCTCCGTGACTTCCAGACCAGCCTGGTCTACCGAGCCAGTTCCAGGACAGGCTCCAAAACAATACAGAGAAACCCTGCCTCAAAAAACCAAAACAAACAAACAAACAATCCCCCCAAAAGACAAAATATTCATCAATAAACATTTGCAAGTAAAGTAGTCATAACCCCTGAAGCTGTGATCCCAACTGTTTATCCCTCTTGGTCTCAGAAGTCCTCCCTCCCCATGCCCTGCTTCCCTTCCCCACCCCCTCCTCTTCTTCCCCTCTCATTTCTCTGTATTAGAAACTGAGCAGAGGGCCAAGGGTCAGCAATCACTCCACTGTTCAGATACGGCTTAGCAGCCCTCTTGACTATCACTTAAGTTGCCATTTGGTATGGGGAGGGGTCACCTGTGACCAGGCTCTACCACCACTAATTTTCAGCCACAAAGTATCAAGAGTTCTGGAGGCATGGCCTCCACGTGAGGTATCCATAGCTCCCGTGTCTGACGTGTCTGACGTGTCTGACGTGTCTGACGTGTTTGACCGGTTCTTGCCATGCTTGCTTTCCTTGGTTGTTTCCCTACCACATCTCCAAAAACCACCTCAAAACCAGGCAGATAACAGGCAAGGGAGCAGGACACTGAGGGAGCAGGAAGGAAATGAGCCTGACTCCTCCTAGCAGGGACAGGGAGCAAGGTTCCTTCCACATGTTACCACGATAATTTTCATTGTTCTGGGTAAAGTTTTCAGTGGTTAAGGACAAAAAAATTAAAAGTGGCATAATAGGATGAGGAATATTTTTACCCCAAGTTCATTCAAATGACAAAAGAATTCGGTAACTTAAGATATCCCTTTTGCTTCTTTTTTTGATGCCAGTGGTTTGGGCCCTTTCCACGTAGGATATTGTTTTCAAAAGCCTCCCAACAATGCTTTTCCTTTTATTCCACCTCTTCCTGGCCATGCCTTTCTTATCGTCCTAGTGTTGACTATTTTTTTTTTACACCTCATTGAAACATAAACTCTCTTACTAAGATGTAGATTTAGAAGGTGAAAATCTTCTTGAGTGTACACCCACGGGACATTCCTCAAGATCATGTCTATATTTGACAGATTTTTGTCATCACTGCGAGACATACGTGAGAAAATCAGTTTAAATGAGGGAAAGGATTATTTTGGTTCACAAGTGCCAGCCTGAGGTTGTCTGGGTCTGTTGTTTTGCCCTTGAGGCCAGGCAGGGGAAGGCATCCCAGAGGTGCACATGTGGAGGAAAAGACTGTTCACTTCATGACAGCCAGGAAGCAGAAACAAAGTGGAATGAAGACAGGGCAGACCCTTTGAAGGCCTGTTCCCAGTGACCTACTTCCTCTAACCAGGATGTACCTCCTAGTTCTATCACCTTCCAATGGCGTCACCTGTCCTAGGTTCATATCTGCCGCTATGATAAAATGTCCTGACCAAAGCAGCTGAAAGGGGAAAGGGCCCACAATTTCCCGGGGGGGGGGGCTGTCACAGTGGAAGGTGCTTGAGATACTTGGTCACACCACATCTACAGCCAAGAGCTGAGGTAGCTGAGTACCGAGTGACTACTAAGCAAGTTCTCCGTAGCAAGTACTCAACTGGCACTCTCTGTTACCACACAGTCTGGGTCCCCAAACCTGGGGATGATACCACCAAAGAAAAGCCGTTTGCACACTTTGAGAGTCAAAGTGAAAGAGCTGTTCCCTCCTAATCCAATTAAGAATCAAAGCAACCCCCTACAGACATCCCCATGGGCCAACCTGATCTGGATGGATTCTTAGTTGAGGCTCCTTACTCAGGTGGTTCTGAGTTGTGTCAAGTTTGACAGTTAAAATTAACCACCACGCTGTCAAATCCCCTGGGAATCGATCCATAGCTGAGATGATCAATCTCAATGATGGGGTCCCCAGCTGGGGCCAAGCCTTCCTGACAGGATCAGTTTTGGAGGACAATTGAGACCCCAAGCACAGCAATGCCCCACTTTCCTGAGTCCCACGCATACTCAGACCAAGACCTTCATCTCTAGCTCAAAGTGGTTTGCAGTGCAGTGGTGTAACCACAGTGTTTTAAATGTTGGGGGCCACCCAGTTCTCATTTGTATAAATGGCTTCCCTTTCTGGAAATGCTCTGAGATCATGTATTAATGCTAATATGAGCATGGGTACATATAGTGCCATCTTGGGAAACCAAATACATTGTCTTCTGTTAGAAATGTTTCATTTTCCCAGGATATGCTCAAGACTATAAACCTTTTCAAATTTTTCATTATTTCTTCTGGAAAAAAGAACAAATGACTATGATATATACCTTTAATCTCAGCATTCAGGATGCAGAGGAACTCTATGAGTTTTAGGCCAGTGGCTAGCTTGGTTTGCATAGTGAGACCTGTCTTTAAAAAAAAAAAAAAAACTGACAGCATTTGGTGACATTCGATCTGATCTATACTATCTAACATTTTTTGTAATTTTTTTTCCTTATACAGAAACTCATGATTCACACAGGAGTTGAGGCAGGGATATTGTGAGGTTCAGACTAGCCTGGACTACAAAGTCACAGCTTGTCTCAAATGACAAAGCAACACAATTCTGAGATCTTATTGTCTTGCTAAGTGTACACGTTTACTCTGTGTCTCCTCAGTTCACCCAGCTGGAAACAAATAAAAATGACAAACACTGTTAATCTGTCTTTACAAAAAGGAACATGCAGTGGTGATAATGTAACTCCTGGTGTTGAGAGATTACCAAAAGTCAAGTGCTTTACATACAAGCATGAGGGCCCCAGTTCAGACCTCTAGAACCCATATGAAAAGATGCACACTTGTAATCCTGGCACTGGGGAGGCAGAAACAGGAGGATCCCAGCCAGCTTAATTGGTGAGCTCCAGATGTCAGCGAGGCCTGAAGAATGACACCCGAGGTTATCCCCCCCACCTCCCCTGACACCTGAGGAGGATGCCTCCCTCCCTGCACACATACAAAGATCCCCAAGAGGGTGCCAGGCCAATGAACTGTCCCATAGAGTCTTGGTGACTGAGAACAGAGATGGAATAACTGCAGAATAAGATCCCCACAGCCTCTCCTCTGCACCTGAGTGTGTCCACAGGACACTGCCAAGAACACTGTTCTGAATTCCGACCCCCTGGGAACGGATGCCAGGTGAAGGTCAAGATTGGCAACAGAATGGCCATTTCCTAGCTGGGCCGTGGGCCATCTAAGAGGCAGATGTCATATTCTCCTGGGCCTTCCTTCCCCAGCCACTATGTAGTTTCTTAGACTAGAGAAAAAAAAACTGCTCCCCTTGAAAAACAAATAGGACTTCCTTGTATGAACCACTAGTGTTGACAAGGGCTAATTTTGTTCTCTAGCTACACACAAAAATCAAACAATAGACTCATGTGTGTACAGTTTCTGTGAACTCTAAACTCCCATCAAATTTGGAAGTTACAAAGGAAGGCTGTGAAGTTCATCACATGTGGTTATGTTAATGTACCACAAAAAGAGTTTGTCAAAATTAAATGCCACCCTCCCTATCACCCTGCCTCCCCAGCCCCGTCTCCTGCCTCACCTGCCGTGCATCTGTGAGCTGTCTTTTTGGGACAGTAGCTCTGCTACTACAGTGCCCAGGTGGTTCAGTTCTTCTGCTAGTTTCTTCTATTCAAACACAACCTTCGGCATGCAACCTTAGGCACCAAAGTGGCAGCCATTTGGGTGGATTGGGGCCAAGGCATCATCTACTCGGCTTCTTGCAAAACTCCAGCTCCTATAGTGTGGGAAAGCTGTCTGTGACCTCAGTCTTGACGCTGTAACTGTGCCCAGAGCCAACTCAAGGACACGATGGCTCCAAAGCTCCAGGGCTGCGGGCTAAGGTGTTCCTGAAGCTTCTGAAGGAGAGTTGTGACTCTCACATCCCGTAAGTCTGGGAGGAAAGGGAAGAACTGTATGTTCCAATCCATATTTTTGCCAACAGCTTCAAATCTTAGAAGATGCCCCTCCATGGGAGTGAACAGAGGCTGCTTTATAGTCTTCCTGTCCTTTCTCTCGCCAGTCTGTGAAACATTAAAGACCAGGAAACAGACTCCTCTCAGATGAGCCTTGGAGACAAGGGTTCTTTTGTCTCCACCCCTGGAAAAGGCCCTACGCCTTTGCTCTCTGGAAATCTCGGAGGGCACTGTGCCCACCCATCCCTTCCCACATCCCCACTCTCCTCTCCACTCTTCCTGTTGCATTCTCTGAATCTCTGTTAAGAGGGAGAGGACACTTCCCCACGGACAGAAAGTACAGATCAGCACAGACCACTGACACTCGGACGGAAGGCACAGCAGATGGGCTTGGAACACAAGCTTTGAAAAATAGCTACAGAAACAGGCTGTCCTTTCAAGCTGCCTCCAAGGGGTGGGGCTCCTGTGCTCATTAGTTTTAACCATCACTTTGTCACCACCCAGAATCATTTGGGAAGAGAGAGCCTCCTTTGACAGATTGCCTGTGGGGTAGCAAGAGGCAGACCACTGTGGGTGACACATTCCTTAGGCAGATCCAAGCTGAGCAGAAGGGAGCAAGCAAGGAACCATGCATTTGTCCTCTCTCTCCCTGCTCTTGACTGTGGATGTAAAGCTGTATGGTTTTGCTCAACACACACACACACACACACACACACACACACACACACACACACACACACACGCGCGCGCACGCACGATTGAAATACTAAAGACAATAATGCTTTAGAAAGGATTAAGAAAACGACCAGGTCCCTGGCTACTTGTTCAGCAGTGAGTAGATGCAGGCTGCCTTGGTAGACTGTCAAGGCGTCAGAAGACTGGCGAGGAAACTCATTTCACACCAAGGGGTGAGGCTTCTAAATAAAGCCTATGTTAAAAAAAAAACATTTACAATGTTTTAAATTAGCCATGCACCATTGTTTAACGAGGTTTACTGTGACAGCTTCCTGTGTGTATAGACTCACTTTGATGGTATTCACGCATCTTACTCTCCTCCCGACCCCTCCTTTCCCTTGTTGTCCTCTTCTGCTTTTGTGTCTCCCGTTTTTTTTCAGCGCTGACCTATGAGTCTTTCTGACTCCTACTTCACTCCGTAGAATGATTTCCAATTCCATCTATTCTCCTGGAAAGGAGATTTCATTCTTCGTAGCTGCATAAACCTCCACTGTGTAGTTTCCGCCACGCTTTCTCTATCCCCTCATATGTAATTCCAGGCACAGAAATAACAGCTAGGCTAGTTCTGTATCTTGCCTATTGTGAGTGTCCAGCCTTTAAACACCCTCCGTAGTATTGTCCCAGCAATCAGTTCTCAGAATATAGTCTCTAACCTCACAGCAGCTGGGAACTTGTCAGCAGTTCAGTTTGGGGGTCCAGATGGAAAACTGGGGTACAGTTTAAGTGTCAGTCTTAAGTCCTTAGGGGATTCTCATGGGAACTCAAATCTGAGAACAGTTCACATACGCATCACTGGCAAAGCCATGCTTCCAGAGTTTGATTCTCACTAGTGTGTCTTTGAGCTTTAAAAAGGTCCCCATGGTCAGGTCTCAGATCCAAACCAGCTAAGTCAGATGAACCAATGCTCCTCAAGAAGCAGTTCTGAAAGTCTCCCAGAAGAGCCAGCACAGGGAAGTCAGGTGCCTGTCACCCTGGCTGCTCTGGGTGTGGTCACAGACAGGTGGCATGCCCACCTGAGGGTGGGGAGGGGTTGTTTAGTGATGTCTGTACCAGCTGCTCCTGATTCCTCAGCCTCTGCCTAGACTGCACTCAGATCTCCGGGGATTTCCAGCCACACCCAAGTTTGAGGACCTGCCTCAAACCAGGCCCATTTCCTATCAGTCTGTTCCCAGTATCAGGCCCTCCCTCCCTGTCTCCTGCCCTTCCTCCCTCCCTCCCTCCGTCCCTCCCTCCCTCCCCTCCCAGTACTGAGGAGCTCAGGGCCCTCGCACACTAGGAAAGCACTGGTCCATTTACTTTACTCCCACCCCTGATTCTCTGCTGTGTGACAGATGAATGGCTACTCACCACACTGCGCTCCGCATCCCCCTGGTCCTCCCTCTTGCTGTGATGAGCGATACAAATGTCTCCTTTTCCTTCCACAGGACACAACAGACTATGTCGCCTATGTCGCTAAGGACCCTGTTAATCGCAGAGGTAAGCAATGCTCGACCCATTTAATCACTCGCTTGTGTGAAGCCAGGCTTGATGTGTGAACCAGATGTTCCTCATTATCCCAGCTCCAGCAAATGAGCACGTGTCACGTGACACGATTAAGGCTAATTAAGGCCTGCAAGCATAGCTTGTCACCTGGCTGAGAGAGAGCCTACCAGATGCCGAGAGCCAAACTTGCACGTGTGTCAGGATGGCCTTGGTTTGGGATACCCGAGTCACACATCACCTCTCTCACCTGGTGCTCTGACAGTGGCCTTAGGTGTGCCTAGGAAACTACACTCCCCCACCCTCCTGAGCAGCGTCACACAGTGTGTGTGCAGTGTCCTGTCTCCTGCTTCTGGAATCATAGATACAGGCCGAGTGGGCATGCCATTTGCAAAACCAGAGTGGATAATAATACACTCAGGGTGACTACCCTTGGACACTAGGCAGCTCCCGGTGACCCGTGCCACAGCTACGCATGAAAAGTCACCAGCAAAATCCAGTGGAGTCTGTCACTGTGCGGAGTGACGCTTCCCTACACTGCAGACTGGTTCCTTCCTTCCTCTTGGCCTTTGTCCTATGTGCCAGCATCTGGTTTTTCCTCCTTTGCTTGCATACTCACAGACATATTTTCTCTCTTGCAAAAAAAAAAAAAATCACAACAACGCAAGCCCCCAATACACACGATACCTAACACTCTGTTTCACCATTCTCCTCCCAAACCCGTATTTTGGATATACATTCAGGACAATCAACAAGGGCTGATTAATTTGGGATGGGGCGCGGGGCTTCTGCAAACCCTTCTTCATTGCCCTTTCTGCAGCAGATACCAAATGTGATGGTTAATACTAATTGTCAGCTTGACAACTCCTAGAACCACCTAGTGGGTAAACCTCTGTACTGTCTGTAAGGGGGTCCCTGGGTTGGGTTAATGAAGGCCCACCCTTACTGAGGGTGGTACCATCCATGGGCTGGAACCCTCAAATAAATGAAAAGGAGAAAGTGACCTGAGAGCCAGCAGTCATTTCTCTGCTTAGCTATGCAATGTGACAGCTACCTCAGGCTCCCTGGCTGACTGCCCCGTGGTGATGGACTGTTCCCCCAACCCGTGAGCCCAAATGGGCCCTCCTCCCTCCCTTCCTTAAGCTGCTTTTGTCAGGTATTTTATGAGCAGTGGGACAGTAACTGTGTGGCTGGCATGTGACATGTCCCAGAGGCTCTTGCAGAGCAAGGGGCGTTGATGGTTCATATGCCAAATGTCCTTGCAAACTGCTTCCAACTTGGCTGCAAACATTGGCGTTACCATGGTAAGTATGTGAGGTTCTCCCCTCCTGGGTCCCCAGTCAGTTCTGACATCCTCTCAGGGATGTTTTGAAGTTGAAGGCACAAGACAATGGGAAGACTGGATCTGGCTTGTTCTTCCTGTTCTTCCCCATGCAAGTCTTCATTTAGGGTGGTGGGGAGAGAAGTGGGGAGGTTTCTGTAGATAGCATAACACAGGTTCCTAGTCTAGAATTGCCATGTCTCTCCTGAACAGAGCTGAGACAGTTAGACAGGTGTGTGTGTGTGTGTGTGTGTGTGTGTGTGTGTGCGCGCAGGTGTACATATGTGAGCGTACACATGTGGGTGTTATTCCTCAGGTACTGTCTACCTTATTTTTTGAGGCAGTCTCACTGGCCTGGGACTCTCCAAGTAGGCTAGGCTAATTGGCCAATGAGTCCAGGAGTCAGCCCTGACCCTGGACTAGCTTTTTCAGGGTAACAATCTTGTCCTGCAATGCCTGTTTTTGTTTGTTTGGTTTTTTGAGACAGGGTTTTTCTGTGTAGTTTTGTAGACAAGGCTGGCCTTGAACTCACAGAGGTCCCCCTGCCTCTGCCTTCCAGGTGCTGGGAATGAAGGCGTGCATCACCACTGCCTGGCTTGTTTGTTTTTAAAGCTGGGTTCTGGGGAATCAAACTCAGGTCCTTGTACTCCTAAGGCAAGCACTTTACCAACTAAACAGTCACTCTGGCCTTTCTTTAAAGGAGAGAAGGGACAGGACTGCCAGGGCCCTGAGATGCTTTGTGGGCGTTAATACTCACCCTTTGTCTTCTCAGGTGACTGTGTATAGCCAGTGCTGGCCCCAGGTGAGCAAGGTTATACCTGTGACAGTTAGGACTGATGCCCAGACCACTTGAGCAAAAGCTCTTGTTGCAGGCTTACAGACTGGTCTTAATGTCTAAGGTAGCAAACAAATTAAGTTGTTTGAGGCAACAAGGACATGTTGCCTCACAGTTCCGGAGGCTGGATGCCCAGTTCATGGTGTCAGCAAGGCCATATGGACTCCCTCTGGGTCCTGGAGTTCTCGAGAAATCTCTCCTTCCTCTGTCTGGCTTCGGTAGTTACAGGCAATCTTCAATGTCCCGTGGCTTGTAGGTGTGCCACTGAAACTCATCCTAATGTGGTGTGGATGCCTATAGAGATGACAGTCCAGGGTGGCTCTGGGTCCCTCCTATCCTGCTATGACCTCCTTCTAACTAGTTACATCTGAAATTTCCCATTTTCCAAAGAAGGGCACTTTCTGGGGTCCTGGGGTTAGGATTTTTGGCATAACATTTTTTTTTGTGGGGGCATAATTGAACCCACAGCAGAAGCCAGCCACTTTCACTATCCTAGCTTTCCCCAAATCAGGGAGGGAATTGGGAAGGGGAGACATAGGCTATCCCTTACTAGGCACTGGCTCCCCAAACTCTATCTGGGTTAGAAGCAGCTGGGGTTCATTCTCTGTTTTGGTTTGTTTCAGATGAACAGCAAGTGATCTAGGCAATTTTGTCTTTCAGATGTGTTTAGTAGGTCCAGGTCAATGGTCCTCAAAATGAGCTATTCTTGAGAGTTACTTAGGAGCCTTATTAAAAAAAATCTCAACACTCAGGTCTGAGAGGATGGGATCCAGGCAACAATGTGTTTAAATAGTTCTTTGGGGCTTGAGGAAACAGCTTAGTTGGTAAAGTGCTTGCGGTATGAGCATAAGAGGCTGAGATAATTTCTCAGAACCCACCTGAAAAGCCAGGTGTGGGGGCAACATCTGTAATCCCAGCACTGAACGGTGGAGACGGGAGGATCCTGGGGGCTTGCTGGCTAGCCTGCCTCGTCTAGTTGGTGAGTTTCAAGCCTCTCTTATAACACAAAGAGAAGGTTCACTGAGGAATGGTACCCAAGGCTGCCCTTTAGCTTCTATGCACACATACAACCACATGCACCCACATGCATATGCACACATGCCCCAACATGCACTCACATGCGTATGCACACACATATATATTCTCTGATGCTCTGATGTATATAAAGCAACACTGAGCACTAAGCTGTAGCCTATGTCTCTAAGGTGTCTGGCCTCCAAGCACTTCGCTTTGGACCAAACAAGGGCCCAGCGTCTGTGGTGTTTCACAGTCCAGCCATCTTGTGACCAGCCTCACCTTTCAAAGTCAAGGTGCCAGACGTTTCTATATCTGTACTTGGTCCCTTCACCAAAGCCCTCTCTGAGGTTGACATGCAGTGCTGTTAGAAAAACTGAGGCAGTGTTAACCTTGCAAAATGATGGTGTGTGCTTTTCTAATGGTACTTTATATTTGCCTCTCAGTTATTAAGAGCCCAGGGCTTCTGTAGTTAATCCAGTGGAAGGAGAAGAGGCCTGACTCCCTGGGCATTAAGTCATGTGGAAACCACCACCAGCCATCTCAAGGAGATCAGGATAGCACATGAGTGACGTTTCAGGAGGCTGGTGACCAATAGGAGAGCTACCCAATGATTGGTTTTGTAGAAATGGGACTCCTAATGTGTCAGCTTTGTTGGAGTCTAATACATCATTTTCTCTCTCTTCACACACACACACACACACACACACACACACACACACAGAGAGAGAGAGAGAGAGAGAGAGAGAGAGAGAGAGAGAGAGAGAGAGAGAGAGAAGACTAGTCTTTGGGTATCTTTATCATCTGCTCTCCATCTTGCTCTTGAGTCAGGGTCTCCCCTTGAACTATGAGCTCATTTACTTGACTAAAGTAGCTGGCCACCAAGCACAGGTCCACTCCTGTCTCTCCTCTCCAGCACTGGATTCACACATATGCATCACTGCACACAACTTTTAATGAGGGTTCTGGGGATCTGAACTCTGGTCCTTAGGCTCTCATGGCAAGCACTTAACCAGCTGAATGGTCTTCCTGGTCTCTGTTTAATTTTTAGTTGACACATAGCTATATTTATTTATGAGGTGCAGTGTGCAATGATAAAATCAGAGTATTTCACCTTCAAACCTCAAGCTTCTTGCCCCTTGACTCCCTAACCTGGAACTATGAGCCAAATGAACCCTTTCTCCTTTAAGTTGCTTTTGCTGGGGTGCTTTACCACAGCAATGGGGAGGAAACAAACACACTCTCTCCCATATTTTAAAGCAGGCTCCCTCACTGAACCTGGACCTTGCTGAGGAGACTCGTGCTTGGCCAACAGTCTCCAGGAATCCTCCTAATTCTGTCTCCCGAGTACTAGATTGCAGGCCTATGCTATCAGGCCTGGCTTTGTTTGTGGGTCCTAGGGACTGAACTCAGGACCTCAGGTCTGCATGGCAAGTGTTTCAACAACTGAGCCACGCCCTCAGTCCCTACATTGTGCTGTTTGGTGTTTCCGGTCAGATTTGGCTGTCAGCACTTTACTCTTACTAAGTCTAGAACTTTCTCTAAGTCCATTGAGCAGATCAAGATCCACCTGGGACACCAGTTCCGATCTATCACTAAGGTTTCTATGGCCTTAAGGAAACTCTGAGAGTATCAGAACCACCAAGGGGGCTGGAGAGGTGACTCGGTGGTTAACAGTACTTGCTGCTCTTACAGAGGACCCAGGTTGGGTTTGTGGTACCCATAGGGTGTCTCACAACCACCTGTAACTCCAGTTCCAGGGGTTTCCTCTGCCCTCTTCAGGCACTGCATGCATGAGATGTGTGTGTATGCATAAAGGCAATACACACATAAAGTGGAAGTAAATAAACATTGAAAATAAGACCTTTACTTTTGCAGACAAGCCTTCTAAGAATTTCACGTGTCCATCACCACTGTGGGATGCCCACAGAGACAAGACTATGGTTTGGTAGAGACATACCAGAAGGGATGCGTGTGACTTTTTTTTTCCTCTGTTCCTCAGATGGGGCCTTTTGTCAAGGGGTCCAGGAGAGCCCTGGCACTGTCTCTAATGAATGCATGTCCCCTTCTCCCCAAGCTTGCCACATTCTGGAGTGCTGTGATGGGCTAGCCCAAGATGTCATTGGCTCCATCGGACAAGCCTTTGAACTCCGGTTCAAACAGTATCTGCAGTGTCCCTCCAAGATCCCCGCTCTCCAGGATCGGTGAGTAGTGGTGCCTGCCTTTCTCGGCGGCTTATCTTTAAAACTACCTCCCACATTGCACTCGGGCAGACCCAGATCATCACGCATTTCCAGAACTCAGACACCTGGCTGGCGCTCGGCAGAGGCATGGAAACCGACAGATGGAAGCTCACATATGGCTCTGAATGGGCAGGAAACATTTTTTGAAGCTATAGTGACAGTAGATAAGGTTACCAAAAACAACTCCATTGTAATATTTTCTTTTTGTCATACTGTGTCTTCTCTAGCCCTTTGATTCTTCCATAGGTCCCCTCTCTGGGTCTGTGTCCACACAGTTAGCCAAAGCCACCTGCTGCCAGCATCATTTTTGCTTTATTGGCCTCCATAGCCTAGTAACTTCAGGGCCTGTTCATCTGCCATATGGCTCTGGGCAAATCCTTAAACTGTCTGAGTCACCGTGGCTTCATCTGGAAAACAGGGATAAGGATCACTTGACAGCTGTTTACTATTATGGAGAAGCAATTATTAACACCAAATGTGGGCTACTTAGGTATATATATATATATATATATATATATATATATATATATATATGAGAGAGAGAGAGAGAGAGAGAGAGAGACTGCTATTCAGTTTCCTTAGGATGCAAGAATATTCTATGATGTAGAAAGCTGACAAGTACTATGGGGTATATGGGGCATATGGGGCATATGGGGCATTCAGTGCTCTCCTGTCCTTGAGTATCTTCTGTCAGTGAAGAACTTGCATAATGCAAAGCTACTACAGGTTGGGAGATGTCTTGGCCAGTAATGCACTTGCCTTGTGAGCATAAGACCTGAGCTTTCTCTCTGGAGCCTATGTTTAAAAGGAAAAACCAGCCAGGTACAGTGGTGTCTACTCATAATCCCAGTGCTGGGGAGGTGGGAACAGGTGGATATCTGGGGGGTCACTGGCCAGTTAGCCCAGTCTTCTTGGTGAGCCCCAGACCATTGAGAGACCCTTTCTCATAAACAACATAAATAGCCCTGACATTGACCCCTAGCCTACACATAAACAAATGTATGTAAACCTATGTACATGTGCCCACATATACGTGTGTACACAGAAAAATCTTTCTAATGGTGTGTTCACTGCAAACAAGCATTGTTTCCCTTAGGTTTGTTTCTTATTCCTTTCAAACTCACAAAACCACCTTCTGTGGCGTCATCATGGAGCCGGGGTCTGCTCTGTTCCCTCCCCATCCCTTGACAAATTCCCTTTAAGGCATCCTTTGTGCCTGCCAGGGCCCACTTTACCCAGGCTGATGAGTTCGGCGGGATGGGGGCTGGAGGATGTGTGAAGGACATGGCCACAGCCTGACACCTCTGACCCGAGAATGCGTCATCATAGCTCTTTATTTTTAATGTGACTGGAGATTGGGCCCATGCATTACAGGTTGTATTATCAGAATTTATAATGGTGTGGAAAGACTGAGTTGCAAAAGGGTATGGACTGTTTGTGTTTTGAAAACCCACTGCCCTAGTTAGCTTAAATTGTCAACTGACACAGCCCAGAGTCACCTGGAACAAGGGAATCTCAATTGAGGGATTGCCTGGGTCAGATTAACTATGGATCTGTCTGTAGGGAATTGTCTTGATTGTTAATTGATGCAGTGGGGCCCAGCCCACTCTGGGAAGCACCATTCCCCTGGCCAAGTGGTTCTGGACTGTATAAGAAATCTAGCTAAGCATGGCTGTGAACGAGCCAGTAAGCAGTGTTCCACCTAGGCTTCTGCTCAAGTTCTCTCTTTGACTTCCCTCAATGATGGACAGTGAACTTGTTAACTGAATTAAACCCTTTGTGAGCATTTGAATCGTCTCCATCCTTTGGCTCTTATGAACACAGCTACTATGAAGTTGTAGTCAAGCTTTGAGGTAGATATACATCTTGTATACATGCCTTAGAGTAGAACTATTGAGTTAATGGTCCTACTGTTTGTTAACCATTTGGGAAACTGTGTTAGCTACCTTTTACTTTTTTTTTTCTGTGATAAGATAAGGCATTAGTCAGGGTTCTCTATAGGAATAGAATGTGTGTGTGTGTGTGTGTGTGTGTGTGTGTGTGTGTGTATCTGTGTGATATGGGATTTATTAGAATGACTTGCAGGCTGCGTGTGGTCCTACTAGCCCAATAATGGCTGTCTACCAACAGAAGGTCCAAGAATCCAGTAATTGTTCAGTCTACAAAGCTGGATATCCCAGACGGTCTTCAGTAAATGCCAGAATCCCAAAGAAGTAGGTTCTCGTGCCAGTGAAGGAATGGACTTGCTGGTGAGAGTGAAAGCAAGCAGATGAGAGGGCAAGCTTTCTTCTTCCGTGTCCTCAGGCTGCCATCAGAAGGCGTGGCCAAGATTAAAGGCCAATCCCTGCCTAAAAAATCTGGATTGGAAATGGATTTTCCCACTTCAAATGATTAAAGAAAAAAAATCCCTCACATGTGTGCCCAGTCATTTGGATTTTAGTTAATTCCAGATTTAGTCCAGTTGACAACCAATAAGAGCCATAACATATACTCTAAAAAACATCCACATGAGGTAAGAGGGGTCTATTTTGCTCATGGTTTGGAAGAACAGTCCATCATGGCAAGGAAGTCAAGGCTGCAGGAATGTAAGGCAGGTGGTAGTCACATTGCATCCACAGCTGGGAAGCAGAGGGCAATGGTGCTAGTGCTCAGGTAGCTTCTTCCTTGTTATGCAGTTCAGAGACCCAATCCCAGGGAATAGTGCCACACATTATTAGGATCAGTTTTCTCTCTCTGTTAACCAAAGCATGATAATCCCTTGCAGGCATGACTAGAGGCTAACCTAATATAGATAATCCTTCATAGGCATGGTCAGAGGCTAGTCTAATTTAGATAATCCCTCATGGGCATGCCTAGAGGATAATCTAACCTACACAATCCCTCATAGGTGTGTGCTAGAGTCTTGTTTCCTTGGTGATTCTAGATCTTGTCAAGTTGATAATCAACATCAGCTATCGTAGTCAAATGATTTTTCAGAGTGATAGTACCAATTTACATTTCCATAAGCATTGTAGGCGCTTGTTACTCCTCCAGGCCGCATCAACGTTCATTGTTGTCCATGTCTTTGATTATGGCTGCCCTAGTGGACAGGTGATGGTTTGGACTTTCATTTTTCTGATTATGATATCTGGCCGTTTGTCTATCTTGTTGGGGAAAATGTCTGCTCAAATCTTTATTTTGCAAATATTGGGTTGTTTTTCTTTTAAATTGTTAAGTTGTAGGTGTTGTAGATCCACACTACCTTAAAGAAATAATATTAGCAATATTTTCCTATTTTGTAGATTGTGTTTTTTCAACATGTTTTATAACTTTCAGTGTATGTCTAACCTTGATTACATAATTTACCCCTTAAAAATTTCCCTTTTTGATGCTCCAATGATTTCTTATTTTTTCTTTTTATCATCATTAATGTATAAAATACAACTGATTTCATGTATTGTTTTTTGTATCTGTGAGCCCATTCTTTAGACATACTTTAGATTCCTAATTGCAATCTTTTTGACTTGCTTATTTAGGAATGTGTTAATTTTAGCATCATATTAATCTTATATGAGTCTACTTTGATTTCTATATTGATTTTATTATTATATGAACAACTACTTTTTAAACTTCAATTCTTTAAAAAATTTTAAGCTTATTATTACATAAGCTTAACATTATATTCTTTCTCCTGGGGAATGTTCCCTCTACATGGGAGAGGATGTTTTTATGCTGTTGCTTTTGGGTAGATGTTTCTTAGGTCTGGTTAGTTTTTTTATATGCAAACTTCTATTTCCTAATCTTCTGTTCAGTCATTCTATATAATAATGAAGTGTATATTAGTGTTTCTCCATATTATTGTTGAACTTTCTGTTTTTCCTTTTGTATTTTTTTATAGAAAACTTATTATTGGGTCATTTTCTTATTTGTTCTGTCAACCTATGCCTTTTAAGAAGAGCATTTAATACATATATTTAAAGCAATTGCTGGTAAGTTAGGATTTTTGTCTAGTGTTGAGCTATTTTTTTCTTTATGCCATTTTATCCTCTTAGACACAGTTATTATCTCCTTTGTGCAAAATAAATAAACATTTTTCAAGTGTACAATTTAACTTCTTCCTCTTTCACTACTTTTAAAGTAGTGATCAGAGGATTATAGTTAATATATTAATTCATAATTACAAATTCAGATTAAAGAACTTATTAATATACAGAAGATTGGCTTCTGTACAGCTCTATTCCTCCATTCCATTATACTATTTTAAATTTTTTATTCATTTTACATAGCAACCACAGTTCCTTCTCCCTACCCTCCTCCTGCTCCCTCTCCATCCCCTCCTCCTGCTCCATCTCCATCCCCTAACTCCCATCTACTCCCTAGAAAGGGTAAGGCCTCCCATGAGGAGTCAGCAAAGCCTGGCATATCAAGTTGAGGCATGACCAAGCCCCTCCCTGCTGCTGCATCAAGGATGTGCAAGGCATCCCACCATAGGGAATAGGCTCCCAAAAGCCAGCTCATGTACCAGGGACAGATCCTGGTCCCACTGCCAGGGGTCTCACAAACAGACCAAGGCACACAACTGTCACCCACATGCAGAGGGCCTCGTTCAGTCCCATGTAGACTCCCCAACTGTTGGTCCAGAGTCTGTGGGCTCCCAAGAGCTTGGGCCAGCTGTCTCTATGGGATTTCCCATCATAATCTTGACCCTCCCCCATATAATCCCTCCTCACTCTCTTTGGCTGTAATCCTGCAGCTCAGCCTAGTGCTTAGCTGTGGATCTCTGCATCTCCTTCCATCAATTACCGGATGAAGGCTCTATGATGACAATTAGGGTGGTCACCAATCTAATTACAGGAGAAGGCTGGTTCAGGCACCCTCTCCAATATGACTAGGAGTATTAGCTGGGGTCATCCTTGTGGATTCCTGGGAATTTCCCTAGCACCAGGTTTCTCCCTAGCCCCATAATGACGCCCTCTATCAAG